AAAGCAAGAGAGTACCAGAAAAATATCTACTTCTGCTTCATTGACTATGCTAAAGCTTTTGACTGTGTGGATCACAACAAACTATGGCAGGTCCTTAAAGAGATGGGAGTACCAGACCACCTCACATGTCTCTTGAGAAACCTGTATAAGGGCCAAGAAGCGACAGTTAGAACCGGATATGGAACAACTGATTGGTTTAGCATAGGAAAAGGAGTACGACAAGGATGTATATTGTCACCTTGCTTATTTAATATATATGCAGAGTACATCATGCGAAATGCTGGCCTGGATGAATCACAAGTGGGAATTAAGATTGCTGGGGAAAAGATCAACAACCTCAGATATGCAGATGATACCACTCTAATGGCTGAAAGTGAAGAGGACCTAAAGAGCCTCTTGCTCAGGGTAAAAGAGGAGAGCGCAAAAGTGGGCTTGAAGCTCAACATCAAAAAAACTAAGATCATGGCATCCGGCCCCATCACTCCTTGGCAAATAGAAGGGGAAGTCATGGAAGTAGTGACAGACTTCACGTTCCTGGGATCCCAGATCACCGCAGACTGTGACAGCAGCCATGAAATTAAAAGACGCCTGCTCCTTGGGAGGAAAGCGATGGCGAACCTAAAAAGCATGATAAAAAGTAGAGACATCACCCTGCCAACAAAAGTCCTCATGGTCAAAGCAATGGTATTCCCAGTAGTCATGTATGGCTGCGAGAGTTGGACTATAAAGAAGGCCGAACGCCGAAGAATAGATTCTTTTGAACTATGGGGCTGGAGAAGACTCTTGAGAGTCCCTTGGACTGCAAGAAAATCAAATCAGTCAATCCTCAAAGAAATCAACCCTGACTGTTCCCTGGAAGGCCAGATAATGAAACTGAAGCTCAAATACTTTGGCCACCCAATGAGAAGGGAGCACTCACTGGAGAAGACCCTGATGCTGGGAAAGATTGAAGGTCAAAGAAGACGGGGATGGCAGAGGATGAGATGGTTAGACAGTGTCATAGATGCAACAAACATGAAGTTGAGCAAACTTCAGAGGACGGCGGAAGACCGGAAGGCCTTGCATGATCTGGTCCATGGGGTTACGAAGAGTCAGACTCGACTGTGCGACTGAACAACAACAACAACAAATACATTAAACTACCTACAGCATTTCAAAGCTGCTTTAAAAATAGCACTATCGATCAATATTTTGCCACCGAGTGAGTCGTTTCAGGGTCCTCATCTGCTAGCAGTATGGTTATCACCCAAGGTTCCATAGGGAGGTGATGTCTATGTAAAATAGGAGTAATCCAACAGGATCTGGGGCCAATCCACTGGTGGCAAAATAAAAGAAGATGATCTAAGGTCTCTATTGCACCTGATCCACAATCGCATAATGAACACACAGCTCCTAGCTCCGCTCCCACAGCTGTGCCCACAATGTGCTGCCCAGCCTGTCTGCCATGCCCAATAAGCGGCCAGGCAGCAGGACAGAGGGTGCAACTCGCAGCCTATGGAGGCAGCTCCCATAAGGGCCATTGTGCCACCTGGAAAGTGCCCTTCTCCATGGCTTGCGCCTCCTTCACCCACCTGGCAGCTGGGAACGGATCATGCAGAGGCACGTATTGCTGCGGTTTTTTCCCCCTGGACTGGTCCCCCAGCCAGTGACGAGCCCTGCCCCACTAGGCTGCGCCTGAGACTCATGCCTTAAGCAGGAGCAGTGGCCATCTCTGCAACCCCTGTGGCCAGTGATGCCTCATGGCAGCAGCAGGCTGCCTCCGTGATCCCCACAGCTGGGGACTCACCAGGTGCTCCCACCGTGTGGGTCCCGGCGTGGCTGTCTCCCCAGAGGAATGGTATGCTCGCAGATACATGAGCCTCGCCCCCCCCCCAGGCAGGAAAACTGAACCCAAAGTGAGCGAGCCGCGGTGCCTGGCAGCGCTCATGGCCCAGCCACTGGCCAGATGTGTGCCGGGGCTGCAGCCTCTGCCAGGTGAGGACGGGACCAGGGACCAAGCAAGCTCCCAGGGCGAGCGAAAGACAGAGAGAAGAGAGCCAGTTTGGTGTAGTGGTTAAGTGTGTGGACTCTAATCTGGGAGAACCGGGTTTGATTCCCCACTCCTCCACTTGCACCTGCTGATGTGACCTTGGGTCAGTCACAAGCTCTGGCACAGAGTTCTCTCAGCCCCACCCACCTCGCAGGGTGTCTGTTGTGGGGAGGGGAAGGGAAAGGAGTTTGTAAGCCGCTCTGAGACACCTTTGGGTAGTGAAGGGCGGGGTATAAATCCAATCTCTTCCTCTTCCTCTTCCTCCTCTTCCTCTTCCTCTTCCTCTTCCTCTTCCTCTTCCTCTTCTTCTTCTTCTTCTTCTTCTTCTTCTTCTTCTTCTTCTTCTTCTTCTTCTTCTTCTTCTTCTTCTTCTTCTTCTTCTTCTTCTTCTTCTTCTTCTTCTCCGGGGAAGGGAAGATCATGAGCCACCGTCAGCCACAATGCCTGGTCCAGCTACCTCAGCCCACCCAGCGCCCAGCCCAATGCTGCAAACGGGGCGAGCCTCACCACTTCCTCCCCTGTGGCCTGTGCCCACTGGGGGGGAGAAGAGGCAACTGGGAGTAACAGATCCCGCCGCGCCTGCTGTTCCCTCCCTCATGATCCCAGATGGATTGGGTGAGTGAATCCCTTCCCATGCCCACAAGCCCCTCACCACTGGGCCACATGCATGGCCCATCCTTTTCCCAATACCTGGCGCGGATCTCCAAGCTGTTCTGTGGCTGGACAAAGGATGAGGGGTGGGAGGCAAGCGGCTGGCCTATGCACCCCACAACCGCCCTCCCCAGGCCACATCCTTGCTTTTCCATTGGGGAGGAGGAAGTCCTAACTTGCCTGCTGCTCGGCCACTGCACCCGTCATCCAGCATCCGGCTAGCTCTCCCTCCCCCACCTGGCCCGGCAAAATTCGGGCCGCGGTGAGCTGGGCCCTCTCCGCCATTTGTAGTGGCATAGACTTTGGAAGTCTTCAAGCTACTGCTTGCAGTTCACAACACAGATCTTCAGCATCAATATCTTTGTTTCCATCGTGGAAAGTCTATGAGGTAAATTAGGCCAATTAGGTAAATTAAGCCAGAAGGGCTGCAGATCACCGTGCACATTAACCCCCCCCCCTTCGCGCGCACACAAACGCCCCCCCTTGTCTCTCCTGCTGTCACCTCCTAAGTAAAACATGCAACCAGTCTGGCTAATTCTCGCTTCTCACTATCATGAAGAGGATTTTGTTTTTTGTCTTGGGAGCTCCGTTTTCGGTGCAGGCTAAGAAGCTGAACAACGTGAATTCTTGTAAATGAGCTGTGGAGGGTGGGCAAAGACCACTCCAGAGAGCCTGACAAGGAAATGTCGCTGCTTTAACTCAGCGCCTCCTGGGCAGCCGCAAAGGCGCCAGGAGGCACACGGGCAGGAGCAGCGGCTGCACCCCTGGCTTGGGAAAGGCACTGCCAGAGACTAAAGCAGCACACGCTCACACATGTTTCCCTCGCCAGGGGCTAGCACGCCATACATCCACAGAGCAGCAGCCCTCCAAGGCATGTAACTAGGCAGGTGCCGCCCGCAGAAGCTGCCAGGCTACTGGGCGCTTTGCTGTTCTCCTAGCTCCACCTCACCCATGTGTTTCTTGGGCAGCTGAGGCATTTCCGACTGAGGGCACTGCTGCAGGGAAGGGACTCAGTGGCTCCCAGTGAGAGGGGCAGTAGGCACGAGGAAAGGGAGTCGTGCGTGGAGGTCCGGGCAGGAGCTGGTGAGGGGGAAGGAGGGCTGCCTCGCCAGGTAGCCCCTCCCACCCTGCTGTCAGTTCTGCACCTCTCTAATGTCTGCACTCTAGACGGTTGCCTAGGTTAACCTAATGGTACCACCGGCCCTGAAGGCACCTTAAAGATTAATAGATGTATATCTTGTAAAGTGTACTTTCGTCCATGAAATCTTATACCGTAATAAATCTGCTAGCATTTATATAAACGTCCCAACTCAGAATGATTCTTATGCATCTCACAAAGTGGCTTCTAAATCCACAAAATAGATGTACTACAATATACTACAAGATAGATGTACTACAATAAGGTACTACAAGACTCTTTTCTCTTGTATCTCCACAACAGAAATGGAAAGAGATTTACTTTTTAAACAAAATGAAAGCTGAGAATTTAGAAAACCTGCTAAGCCTGTTGTTACGGTGCTCCAGCAATATATCAATATTTTAGTGCCATTAAAAAAAGGAAATGAAGCCACTCATGTTTGGGATGGGAGGGAAGAGGGAGAGCCTTAACCACCACAGTCCAATCATTGAAAAATAGGCAGGAGGTAGACAGGAGTGGGTAGGTGAAAGAAAACCAACAGAAACATTGCTCACAGGGAAAAAGCCGGCTCAGTGTCAGCCACCAGAAAAAACCCCAGAGTAAAAGTGGTACCCAAAGGGGGGGGGGGGCACAAAATCTGAAATGAAAACTAAAACCACAAAAATACACATGGAAATCAGGGGATAAACCAAAGCACTATGGGGCCAGAACTAACAAAAAAAATAATAAATCAGAAAATCTTTAAGACAGCAAGTATCATTTTGGTGTCCCTGAACTGATAAGCTAATTAAGTTAACAATAAAAATTAGTGTTTGTTTTATTTTAAACCTAGCTTTCTTGCATTTGAATTTTTATTTTAAAGGTTTGATTAAATTCTACCATTGCAGCACTACTTGATTATACTTTGGAGAAGGGAGGTAGGCTCAGAAGAGGTATGATGAAAAGTGGGCGGGGCATCACACAGATGTGGGGTTCCCGAAATTCCCACAGAGGAGGGGATGGTCTCCATTTTGGAAGACCACAGCTCTGTAGAGATCTGCAGAACACAATTCATGGCATCCACGTACCTTGTGTGAAACACCTACCCAGTGTCTCTTAGGACAGAATTACAATCTGATCGCTTCTAAACTGTAAAGGAGCAGAGATGTGAGTACTAATAGTCTTCTCTTTTTCTTTCCTTAGATTGTGAACCGGGTATTGGATTGCACCAGCAGTGGTGGCTTCTGTGGCAATGACTGCATAATGCATGTAACTTTGGTCTCCCTACCATTTGGTGGAATCGGTATGACTACCCCTCTGCCTCCTATGCTGTCTCTGTCTCCTAGCTCTGCACTTATTCTCCCTCCCCGTCCGGCACTGTCTCCATTCTTGTAAGCACCATGTAAGGCTGCCCCCACAGCAATTCTTTCTCTAAAAATTGTCTCTGGAACAAGGAGGGGTAAAACTCTAATTGTAGGCCATTTTCACATGGTTCAATGCTGTTGAGAAGGGGTTTTTCTCCTTGCTTCCCCACAGCATTGTGGTGCATATGCGCACTTCCCAGGGTTTCCCTAGCTTTCCTCTGATCTTTCTCAAACCTGCTTTGCTATGAAGTTTTTGGAAGGATCCCTCTCTAACGTCTGCCTAGAGAACTGCTGTGTGGACAGGAACATTCAGCTATCTCCACCCATATGGCAGCCAGCCATTTCTCTTGACTCTGTCCCTATGACAGCCATTTCCCTGCCCTGCCACTGGGGTCTTTTTTATTAATTGGCACTTGAATATCATTACAATATATAATTTTACAGCAGTATGTGTATCAGATTCTCTGAATTTCCAAATTTCATTAAAAGATATCTCTTGCCCCTTTTGTTGTGAAGATATAAGGGGAAAAGCATATCTCTGCAATGAAAAGTGCTAGAAACTTCTTTTAAAAGAAAGCAGGGAATTTGGAGACCCTGATAGTCATATTGTTATAAATATAACAATATTAGAGTGCCCTTAAAAAAACAAAAAAACAAAAAGAGCCTCAGTAACAGAGGGAGGGGGGATGGCCACTGCCAGGGACTGGGGCAGGAAACTGTGGGGAAACCTGCCATTTGGAAGTCCCATTGTCACTGCACTGTATTGGCAGCTGTGGCAGAAAGAGGGTAATCACAGAAGCCTCTCACTGTATGGAAACCACCCTAGCAGGTTAACCGCTCCTGGCACTTTTGCAGTCCTCATGCAACAAGGAATCAGTTCCAAGTAAGTAAGTAAGTAATTACGCCAAGCCTTTCATGTTAAGCAGCAGATTACTTAATTACCTGGGATGCTTGCTCATGCATAGCCCTAAACTGGCAGGGATGTCTCCATGGCCTTTTGTGTTGGATCCCAAGCATTCAAAATAACTCCACGTTTAAGAACAAAGCAAGGTTTATTTCAAAGCGTTGGTTTAACCAGAACAGAACATTGTTAGGAATAACTACAGGTGACCAGGGAAGGCATAATATAGACATTTGAACCAGGTCAGGACCAATGAGCCCATTTCCCGCTGGCGGGAATAGAACATACAATTCGTGCCCATTGCATGGGAACGTAACAGTTCTACAATATCAACACAGGTTCAGTTCACAGGCTAGATACCCAAAACACTCTAGGCGAAGCTTTCCTCCTACTACCAGCTGCACGACCTTGGCGAGTTCCGCTGACTACAAAACATAACTCACGTAAACAAGGAACAAGGGGGGGGGGAAATAAGAAGACTGAACAGGAACCGGAATGACAATGGCAGCTAGCTGACATTTTGCTTGAAACATTCCACTTGTAATACTTGGACGGCTGTTTACTGCTTGCTGGACTAGGTACTGTCACTATTAAGAGGGGAAATTCACTAATGTTAGGAGTAAACCAGAAATGTTTATGAGTTTGTGATTGGGGAGGAAATTTTTTACCCTTGACAGCAGACTAGAATCCTTTTTTTCCTGAGCAGATCCACTGATGTGAAATTGTTCTGCTAACTTGCCACAGGAAATGCCAGGCTACCTAAGAAGGGTATCTACTATTCATGTGATAAATGATGTTAGGATTCTGAGGCTTTTGTGCACATTGCTTTTTTTTGTAGCATTTACTCCAAAGCAGCCCCTGTGGCACGCAAAAGAAATTCTGACTTGAATCAAATCTGTCAAATCATAGAGCCCATTCTCTTATGCTTCAGTATTCATGTTTAGCATGCTTGATTTAAAAAAATGTCTGCTTTCATTTTTTTAAATTCTGAGTTGTCATAACTGCTGGAAGGTTTTATTCAAAAATGCCATGCCATTCTTGGTGTGTGAATCAGTGCCTCCAGAGCGGGGTGGGGTGGGGGGCAAACTGCAGGTTGGGAGCTGCATGCGGCTCTTTCACATAGAGGGTGCATTCAGACGGGGCGTTTCAGCCAGCATAAACTGTACTGGTTGGAACCGGTGCAGTTTATGCCGGCTGAAACAAGATCACACTTACCTCCCTCACAGCGGAGCCCATCGCTGTATGCCTGTTCACATGCTGCGGGCGTTGGCATTTTTTTTTGAAAAACCCAACTCAATTTGAGCATGCGCATAGGCAGCCATCCACAGAATGGCGATCTTTGCTCATGCTCAAAACACACTGTATTACATTTAAAGTTTAAAGGTAAGGACTTACCTTTAAAGTTTAAAGCCCAAACTGGCCTCCCTGAAGTCCCGGACTCCTCCAGAAAGTTAAACTAAGGGCCTTTTCTTTTTTAAAAAAACAAACGCCGGGGCGAAGCTTCGCCCAAGCGCATATTGGCAACCTAAAAAAAAAAGGGCGGGCGAAAATCGGAAGCCTCGGGCTTCCGAACGGAAGTGGCTAGACACCGGTGGAGAGCGGTCAGATGGGGGTAAACCGATTACAATCGTTGTACTCAGGATACCTAGTGGCAGAGTACAACAGTTTAAAGGGCTTTGCAACGGTTAGGGACGGAAGGCAGATGTTCTACGTGTGAACGCTGGTAAGTTCACCGATTGCAACCGGTACCTATTCCGTTGCAAATGCCCCGTCTGAATGCACCCATATTGTGCAGCTCCCGGCAGGTCAGCTGGGGAAGTGAAAGGGAGGCGTGCCTCACCAGTTGGTCTTCCCCTTCCCCTTCCTTTCTTTTCACCTCTCCCTCCCTCCCCCCATCTATTCTCTCTCTCTCTCTCTCTCTCTCTCTCTCTCTCTCTCTCTCTCTCTCTCTCTCATTCCTCCCTCCCCATATAAAGTTAAATATCATTATCAATATTTGTATTTACCCCTTTCGTTTTAATTTTTGACAGTCTCATTTAATTTTAATAAAAAGCAAGTTTGCATATTTTTCCAGTAAAAACATGTGTGTGACATTTGTTCATGTCTTGCGGCTCTCAAACATCTGACGTTTATTCTGTGTGGCTCTTAAGTTAAGCAAGTTTGGGCCACCCCTGCCCTAGAGCATGATGTCTATATAAGCAACACTGCACCATGCCTAAGTACATCCTCTGCATATGGCTGCTATACTGTTTTGTGATAGACTAGAGATAGGCTGCTTTTATTCCCTGGCAGGGTCTAGTTTTTATTTAATTATCTTTAGCCACTGCTTAGAGATAAAAGGTAAGGTTTGAACAAGCTTGAAAATGGCATGCAAATGTCAGCAACACTATATGGGAACACTTGCGATCTTGTCTGGGTAAGAAGAATGGGTAGAGGGAGTATGCCTGGGCTGGGTGGCCAACTTGAAAGCTCTGCCATTGTACGGGGTTTGATTTGCATATTTTCTTTGTGACATCTCTTGCAGGATACAGTGGGTTTGGCCAGTACCATGGCAAGTACGGCTTCGACACTTTCACTCACCAGCGTGGCTGCCTCTCTCGCTGCATGGGCTTCGAAGCAATCAACTCCATACGCTACCCACCCTACAGCCAACGCAAGTTGGACCTGCTGGTCTCTGCAACAGAAGTGAGACGCAGGGGCTTTTGCACCCTGCTGTGAACTCCCTCAACAGTAGAGGCCTTCTCATCAAAGCTGCTATGATTTCCTGGATGCAGGATATGAGAAAAGAGTTGGAAATTGAGCAATGGGACAGAATATGGAAAACTGCAAAATTTATGAGAGCCATTTCCTATAAAGAAAATATCTATAAAATGTTCCATAGATGGTACTGGTCCCCAGATAAAATCACAAAATGTTATTCACAAACATCCAACAAATGTTGGAAATGTAAATCTAACATGGGGACCTTTTACCACATGTGGTGAAAATGCAGTAAAATGCAAAAGTTTTGGAAAATGGTACATAATATTATTTTTGAAATACTAAATCTAGATGTCCTGTTAGCACCTGAAATTTATCTATTAAATATAATCCCAAAAGGTTACGACAAGCAAGATGTATATATCGTAACAGCTGCGAGAATATTAGTGGCTAAAAATTGGAAAAAGGATAAAACACCCTCGAAAGAGGACCTAATAAAAAAACTTCTTGAGTTAGCGCAATTGGATAATTTGAGTTTAATACTGCAGGATAAAGACCAAAAAATACAGGATAAAAGATGGTTAAGGGTTTATAACTGGATAAAACATGTTAAGTTATGATATGAAAAGGAAAAGAGAAAATAGCAATTATTGGATATAAGACATGTAATTGGACGCAATGACTCTAAAAATTTGTGTAATCTGAGATAATGAAATGTTTGTAATTAGATTGAAATAATGGAAAATAAAGTGTTAAAAAAACAGTAGAGGCCTTCTGTTTGTAGGGGCTTCTACAAGGAACTGAGCTGCTGGAGAGAAGGAGGGTTTCTATCTCCTCTGCTGTCTCTAGAATGTACTTGTGCCTCTTAAAAAGGCCCCTGTCAAGGCTCTGCCTTCTAAAGAAATTTTACTCCTCATCTGAGCTCCTTATCAAACACCTTACCTCTTGCTTGGAAACCCTTACAGTCTTAGTCTTGAAGGTCCTATGTAGAGGACTGGGTTCTTTCCAGTTGCTAAGAAGGGTAAGAAAAGGCAAAGGACTAGTAAGTGTGGTTTGATGTGATTGCACGATACACCCTCGACACCTACACTGAATTTTCTCCAATTTGAACCAACCGGTACAGTTAAATAGAGACTGCAGAGCATTGATTTAAGATTGCACTTTAATTTCCCTTTTGTCAGCAAGCTGTCATGGTTGATCCCTTGTATATATGCTTCACCTGTTAGGACCTCTTAACCTGCATTACTTTCTGTATTAACTCATATGTTGATAGTTGTTGCCTAGTGACCCTTGCGCATGCTCATAAACGGCAAGCTTGTTAGCGAAACGCAGAAACACTTCAAGGGCAGGTGGGAGATAAGGGAGGACGCTTATGTCTACTGCTATCGCTCATAGCCTGGGAAGTACGATGTTTTGGAATATCCAGGCCGTTACGATTCCCATTACTTTGGCGCTGTTCTTCCCGGGCGGGAAAGTATCTCATTGGTATAGAGTCTGTTTGAACTTTGTTCATGTTACCTGCTTGATGTATTGCACGCCATTCTAAACAGAAACCTTGTTAGTGAAACATCTGTTAATAAAGTCATCCTCGTGACTGAGAAGTGACTGACGATGATCGATGGTACCCTTACAGACTGTTTAGAATCTTAGCATTCCAAATCGTTCCACATCTATCACCACCGTGATGAGTGACGACGATGGGAAATCTCTACCCCAGGACCAGACCCAGGATGGGTCCGGTCCGAAGGGCCTCGCTACAGAGGAGGGAGCCGGCATGGAGAAAGCGACTCCGGCTACTCCTGCAGGGGCCACCGGACTAAAGAAGGTGACAGCGACGCTGTACATGTCTCCACGGACTGACCAGGAACCCCCTCCCCCCAGCTGGAGCAATTTTGGCCTCGAAGGTCTAAGGCAATCACAAGAGCTGACGGGGGCGA